CACATGCTGACAACCAATACATTAAAAAGGCAATGTGCTATGAAGGTGAAACAGGTGTACCAGGTTGCCCTATATGCGCAGTAATAAAGCCAAATAGGTCTTTTTGTCCCAAGAGATCGAAATATCCTTGATCGAAATTTCCTCTTCAAATGCGTCAGGGTGAAATCTTTCCCCAATAGGCATTAGTCCAGTTATAGCAGCAATATCGAGCAAGGTGGGACAAATGAAGCCACAAGGAAACTCGAAAGCCCGAGTTTCTCTATTCAAAAAAAAGAGAGCAGAAAGTAGCATCTGGGGGTCGAAAAGGTGAAGGTCGAATTTAGCTAGCTGGATGAACTCAAAGATACCAGTTTCTTTCCATTCTGAGTGCATGAAAGCTTCTACGCGGGTTAGCCAAGATGAATGCCTATCTTTAATAGGAGGGAATGCTCTAAAAATTTTAGTAGTATCCCCAAAAAGTGTTAAGTCTATCTCTAGGGAATAGATGAAAGGTAAGGTGGAGGAGTCTTCAGGCAAAAGAGTATTACCAAATTTTTTCTTATGCTGACTGGCGAAAGGACCAAGAAAAGCGTGAATAGAACCACTTTCTAAAGAGAAAGGGAGAAGTACTTGGGATTGAAATATCTTCAAACTGGCCTCCTCCATGCCTGGGATTGGAACGAAAGTGTCATCGCCCTCCTTAACCTTGCAGACTTGAGCGTTGGCCATTAGCAAAGGAGTGCCCTGAGTAGTGGTTGCAGTGGCCATAGTGGTTACAGGGACAGTCGCCATAGTAGGAGATGTGGTAGTAGCTAGAACTGGAGATGAAGCGGAGACAACAGTAGGAGAGGCGGTAGAGGCTATAGCAGCGGAAGTTGATGCAGCGGAAGTTGATGCAGCAGAAGAAGCCATTGAAGCACGAAAGCGAAGAACTTGGGAAGGAAGGTAAGAAAACAAGGTACACAGAGTCCACCAGAGAAAGAGATCAAGAAGCAAGGTAGAAAGGAAGCAGGGAAACTTAGGCGCGAAGAAAAGTAATGGTAAAAATGATTTGAGAGAAAGTAAAAAATAGAGCTTTAGCGTGTTGATGGGCCTAAGGTGAAACAGTTTGGATAAATTAATTCAAAATTTAAGTTGAAATTTGTAACAGCCGCTAAAACGGTCATTATGATGAAACAAATTTACGGAGTCACGTGAGCACGCGCCGTCAGTACCATCAATGTCGCATCAAACGGCCATATGCATTAAATGCAGAATAGGGTATAGGTCAATAGGTTTTCATCAAAAAGATTACCCATTGACATAGTGCCCATTTATTATAAACCAACAAATACTTTCTTGTTGGGCTTTTGAAAGAGATAATAAATTCATCATTTCCCTGCAACCAATTCCTCTTTTTCCCTTTCCTTCTTCATAGTTTCACCTAGCTATAGCTACCAAAATTCACTCTCTCTCTTTCATATCTTTGTCTGACCCTCGTGTTAGTTCAATTCCTATCTGTCTGGGGACCTTGTGAAGTGACAAAAAAGAGATGAACTTTATGTGCCAGTAACATGCATATAAAGGCCAAATATTCTACACT